TGCTATAAAAAGCTTTTTTCATTTTTTGATTGGAGCAAGATATTTCTGGTAATAAAGTGGTTTAGAGATACATAAAATACAAATAAAAATAAAAAAAATACGGAAATAATTTGCACGATGGGTGGGCCACTATTATAAATGAAAAGTTGAGAAGATAGGATATATAGGGGAATTTAATGTATATCTGTGTAGAAACTATTAATCATTGTTAACGAAAAACGATTCTGAGTGGAGTTCGGTTACACATGTTTTGAAAGGCCGTAATATTTGTGATTTTAAAATAATACATTTCGTAAATTTCCTTGTTTTACTTACGTTTTTTCCCATATTTTTTTCACGAGTTTGGTTAATAGTATTGTTTTGTTAACAATATACGTGGTGATTTACTAAGCGTACTTATCCCACTTTTTTTGTTAAATTTCAAATTCGGATTTTTGGAATTTTTAAGTGTAATTAAAGCCGATATTTTCAAATACTTATTTTTTATAACATTTAAGAAGTATCCTGTGGTAACACCGGCCTTGGTTTTTCAAATGGAAACCTACAAATTTTAATGCATATTATAAATCAAATTATTTTTCAGAAAACGTTGACGTATTATAATTGAAATTTGAACGAAAAGTTTCTGAGTTATTAGTTGATTAAGGATAACAGTATAAAATGATTAACAGAGGGGGAATAGTAAACTCTTACAAAAGTTGGTAATCACCTACATTGACATAGTGTTAACTTCTACAAAATATAGTGTTAATTCTTATAAAAGATAACACCATATTTTTATCACTAAAAAATCTAACTCTTATAAAAGATAGATTTTTTTAAAATAAGTAAATAGACAAGAATAATACAGTTATTCAATTTGTTCTGTGATTGGTACGACTGGTATGGATGCTATAGGCCTTTTATTTATGAGTGGTAGAAAAAAGATGATATTGTTGTATTTCCTGTTACGGAAACAATGTACCCAAATAACGTTATCGAAATATTCGAGAATATCCGATACGATACATTTATATTAATATGTTTACTAAATTTTAATGTTGTTATCATTTTAATATTATAATATCTCCAAAGTAATGAATACATACAATATGTACAAACTAGAAGTACCTATCGTAGTTTGTAAGAAGTGTTGTAATATGAAATTAGCCATTACCTAACCCAATCTCAAAAAGGTAAAAATGTCTTTGTTAAGAGATTACACCAACTAACTTAGGCTGGTAAAAAGGGACTATGTAGGTGTTTACACTACGTTTTAAATTCATGTAAAAAGTTAATTTTTTTTAGGAATTTACTTGTTACTCTACTAGGCAATTACTTGTTAATTAGTAGATAATATTGTTATATTACACCGTACTGATTCAGTGTTGTGTTTGCTCGGCCACCACTATCGCAGATAACCGATATCATTGTTTATATTATTTAAATATTTACATATATTGTTATTAGCTCGTAAATAAAAATGTTTGATTTTTCGTTATGTCGATATGGGTACGAATTATTTTCTCTATTTTCACGTTTTACAAGAGAATGCGGTACGTGTTACGAATTATTATTGTCTAATACTTACAGTGAAAATAAGTTATGTGGTTTTTTAGTGAATATATTATGTGTGTCGTTTATATTTTTTTGTGTATTGATTTATTAATAAATATCTTATCCCAATCAAAAAACGACCGTTTTTTTGTAATATTTTGGATCTAGTTAACTACAATTATTGGGCGATCATTTTTTGATTTTTCTTGAAGTTTTCATTTGCCTTAAATGAAAAACCCGTATAGGAAAACCGAATAAATGTACATTTATTTAAGTTATCTCTGGAGTTTACCCTATCGACTACCATAATTAATAATATCAAATAACAAGCATATACAAATATAATAAAACCACTAACCATTTACTGTAAAAATTGACAAATTTTTATTCACGGTACCTGTTGTGTTTAATTTGTAAATCTACTCCTAATATGTGTGATAAGAAGGCCTGATTTTTATTGAACATACTATTTTAGTTTTTAGTCTAGGGGAGGGGGTAGTAATATCTACCGATTTTTATTAAACGTCTAGCCTTTGTCACGATTGTCATAATTTTAATATAAAAACATAGATTAAATTACTCTTGTTAAAACAAGAGTAATAAATGGTAGCCAGTAGGTAATTCAGTGTCATATCAATTTTCACAGTTTACATATTTTAATCAACGAACATTTTAATCCCAAAAGTATTAAACATATTGAAAATTTTTGTTTTCAATGGATTTTTTAATTGGAAAAAAATTATTTAATTTAACTATAATATGTAAATATAGTGACATCACCATTTTTAAAATTGATTAAATGTATTTTGGTTTTTGAGTACTTTATTGATACTTATGTACAAATATGTTCATATAATTTAAAAATTTCGTAAAAAAAAAAAAATCGTTTTTCTATTAAACTTTACAGGGGTGAAACAGTGAGTCGCAAGTTCGCAAGTCGGAAAGAAATGTTTTAATTTGTTTTTGAACAATTTTTGGGTCAAGCTAACTAATAAACGCATACGCATACAAATCTAGAAATTGGAATTCTGGACAATACAAAACTGGATCGTATTAATCTGGAGGTACAAAATTGAACTGTTAAAATCAATACCGTACAGATCTGGACTGTACAAATCTGGACTATTAACTGTAATATTTATTATATCCATTTAAGGGGTAAGTGTAGGCCATAAAAATACAATTTCATAAAATTCATTATTTAAGGGGCTATGTATTGGCAATTTGTATTTACTTTTAAAACTAAATACTTATACATAAACCCTTTATTCGCCAACGACAAATTATTAGCTCTTTCCAAATTTATAGTAGCGAGAAAATTTTAGAAGTACGTGATTATATTTGTGGGAATTTAAATACTTAACGTTGACGTTAGGTCTAATACTACGCAAACAATAATATACAAATTGATAATGAATTATAATTATTTATTCAGCAGTTTGCAACACTGTTCTTTTTACAATTATATCGTGTTATTTTCCGGTTACTAAAGAATACATCTTTTAGTTAGTGACTATAAGCTTTAGTCGCAAAAAATAAAGTCGACTTAATACTTAATACCACTTATATTTTAAAATGCATTAACAAGGCCACGATATTGTGAATTGATATTGTATTTTGTTTTGTTGTACATTTGTTAATATATATGCAAACACAAATATTTCAAATTATTACGTACGTATTAATAGTACGTCCCATGAGGAAATACATGTCGTTATATGTAAAATCGTTTTCCGTTTATATAAGTAATGCATGCAATATTTTTGAAACACTATAAACAACCAGTTGTTATATTATTGTAATTTTACCTATTCATTGTTATAATTTCTTACTCATTAATCATAGTTTAACGTATCTCTGTCTAATCTATTGTATTTAACTAACATTTTATGTCTTTTAAATAAGCCAATATGTCATATGCAAAAAAAAAAAAAAAAAAAACAACCAGTTGATACAATATAACCATTGCGTTGTCCATTATGTCGTGTTACAAATAAACTTTACCAGAGAATGACATAAGATCCATAAGAGTTCTTATTTTTGACAATGACCAATTACAATTTTGCACTTTACTTGAAAAGTAACCTAATACTGGGTGATAATTTAGGGACGTCATTTTTTGATTTTCGCTTGAGTTATCACAACAGACAGAAAAAACGGAAAATCTTTCAACATTAAACAAATATTATTAAAGAAAATGTATAAAGCCTATTTGATTGTTTGAATTGTGATAGATATGGGTGTGGTGGGGGGGGGGGTCACAAAGAAATGAAAACACAGTCGTGAACAAATTTGTAGATTTTACAACTGAATTTTATACTAAAAAGTTTGATCCAACAATAAAAGTGGCCCGTGCAACGTCAGACGGGATAACTAGTACATTATACATTTACAAATACACGTAGTTAGTTTAAATTTAAAAGTATTAATAGCATTGAGCGATACAAAATTAGTATATTTTTAAAGTTCTTCGATATCAATGTTCCCATAATAATTAGAATAACCTAGTAAATGAATCAATGTTGATGGATACAACAATAAATATATGGCTTATCAAATTATAAAATACACTTTATACTAATAAAATAAAAATTAGTGGCTATAGCAGGAGATATAGCTTGCTATTAGTGGCAACATTACACTCCTCATGAAAATATCACAACTGTAACATCGTTTATAAATGTGACCAACCATTTTATAAGTCAAAGAAAACAAATTGGAACTCAGCCTATATCTCGGTCAAGAAGAAAATTTGGAATATCTTCTATAGTCCCCTATACAGATGCGCAATGATAACTAAAAATGTATCTAGATAAACATAAAATATATTTAGATTCAATTAAGCTACTTTGCTGCACTCGGAGTTTTGTTTTATTTCAATTTTAAAAAGTAATGGTAAAGTATGCAAAAATAATCTAATAAAACATTCGGTTTGATTATTCTGGTCCGAACCATCCATGTCCGATTTCGAATCGGGCCAGACCGGTTCGTACAAAGCTCTAAGAGTGACCGAATTTGATTCGACCAAAATGATTTTACTAAGCCCAAATTAATCCGGTCTAAATAGCTGGGAAGTCCAAATTGATCCGATCTTAAAAATAAGTCTAAACCATCCCAATCTGACCTTGGATCGGGCCGAAACTCGGGTCGGATCACGCAGCTCGGGTCCATGCAGGGCTCTAATATATCTTTGATAGATAATAATAGGAACACACGTTTTTAAGCTAAGTTAATTAAAATAAATCTAATTAAAATATTACACTACTATCTATAATATTTCTGTAAAACATTCCAGTCACGTGTGTTAATCCACATGACCGCTATCATGTCAATATGCTGATCTAACACTAGTCGTGTGCTGAGGTTCACAATATTACACTATTTACGAATAAAATAAAAAATATCAGATAAAACGAACTCATTAAAAATTAGGTAAAATATATGTCGTATATTATTCGAACAGTCTATAGTTTGGGTTTGTCGTCTTTGGCCGGAGGCTTGCTGACCACGGCCAAGTAACAGAACGCACCGCACTTAGGCACGGGCTGCGCTGCTAGAAAAGCTCCGCCGTCCGGAGATTGTCTGTACAACATTGGCTTATCCGTATCCTCGCTGGACAAGTCACATTCCCACGAGCCACCGCCTTTATTTCCGTCCTTTCCTGCGCTTGGTGCGTTGCCCGTCAACAGGTATGTGAGATTACTTAACGGCGCTGACGGCGGGTACTGATTGAACGGCGCTCGGAGCTCACCCTCCTGAACGGACGTAACCAGGTGGTACATGAAGTCGTTTCGAAGCTTCATCTCGGCTATCGATTTGTTGCTGGCCAAAAGTTTATGTACCCAACGGTTAACGCTGTGTTTGTCTGTAAATTAGACAAAAATAGTTTACTAAAGGATAACAGAGATACGTTGCCGTTTGATTCAATAAAAAAGGCTGTATCTGTATTCTTTTAGCGTTTTTGGCTGAATCATGTTACTCCTACAAATGTATACACTGGTAATTGAAATTTTGAAAAAATATATCTTTTATTTAATATTTAGATACGGATACGTAATTGCACAACGTTATTATATTACGTATACATCTACGATTAATGCAGATTTTTAACAACGTCTAGAGCGTCCAGGTTTAATAATTTTAATATGTTCAACTTATGTTTTTTACCAGAAATATTAGTCCAATCGGAAAATAACAAGAGATCGATTATATTCCTTTTAATATATAGCCAACGACAGAAAAATATTTTTTTTAATGTCTAAAGTATTTTTTTAAATAAATTGGAAAAACCAACAAAGGCGGAATATACAATTTTCTTTTCGAATTACTCCAAATTTTAATCTAGTTTCTGAGTAGGTCACTTGTTTTTGATTTTGTAGGTCACTTGTTTTTGATTTTCTCTGTAGCTTTGTTATAATTAAGAAAATACAAAAAAAAATAATTAAGAAAATACAAAAAAAAAAAAAAACGTAAAATTAAAATTGACAAAAGTTTGTAATTTGTATCTTAGTAGATTAATTGTTAAAGAAAATTTAAAAAAAAAGACGTCCTAGGATAATGGGGATGATTGAAGCCACTGTTAGATAATTTAATGTATACCTGTAGGCAATGATAAACCATTGCTTACGAAAAAATGTTTTTGAGCAGAGTTCAGTTGATAATAAGGCTTTGTCAACAATATATGTCATTTTATAGTAAAATAATTAAATAGGCTTTATACAATTTCTCTAATAATATTTGTATATGTGTTGTAACGATTTTTACAGTTTTCCTACGCTTTTCCGTTTTTTCTCCGTTATTTTCGGTATTTCTAATTTGATGAGAAAGCTCCTAAAAAAATCATAATATTTAAATAATATATTTCGTATATATTTCCGTTTTTGTTTCCAGTTTTTCAAACTCGATGAGAAAACTCTTGAGAAAATTAAAAAATGACTTCCTTGAAGTATCTCTCCACACCGATTTCCTTTCAAAAAACGTTCTATACTTAAAAATAAGAGCAAGTCTTTCGGTAGAAAAGTGGTTCACAGGTATAAAAATATAAGCTTCTTCGCTCCACTTAGAATCTAAAATAAGAGAAACATGCAGCTTTATAGTAAGAC